TTAAGCTGTGCCCAACACATTTACCATCCTCACATTCTTAATGTTGGACCATCCATCTATACTTTAGTGTAAATACAAGAGAAACTATTTTAGAGTTGCTCACATCAGTATGTTAATACCGATTAATCATATTGAATAAATCTTTGCATGTCCAGCAGTGATTAATGTCACTTCAAAGAAAGTCTAACATGGACAATTCAAATCATCATGTATAAAACTGTGAATTAAACGTCTTCGTTCTCAAATGTTCTGGAACATTGATATGACCATATGGGCACTGTAATAAAAACAATTGAAAAATTCAATCTGTGAGTTTCATTTAGCGTTACTGGGCGACAGATGGTCGTTATTTTCAGGGTCGGGCTTTGGAATTCTTTCAAAACGAAGGAGAAACTTGTGTGGGGGGTATAACCACTTAATGCTTTCATCTACTGGATGACATAAAATATACCACATCTGTGGCTTTCAGATTTCAATGTCATGAAACATGTCTAAAATGCATGAAATAACATTTCACAAACTCTAAAAATAGAAACAATTTTCGTGGCACCATGCCCCTGGATGGCTGGACAATTAGATCCCCCACTTGTTTGGGGCTGGCTATACCAGGGTTTTCAGTTTAGGCCGGCGAACGGCAAATTTCGCCAGACTTTTTCATTCAGCCCCACCCAAATTCGCCAGAGCTTTTACATAAACATATAATACATGTGCACAAATTGTGAAACTTAACTCAGGTGCAATCTACATAGTCTAGGCTTTTCCCTTTCACCATAGCTTCATTGCCATTAGCCAGAGCCTCGCACAAAACTGAAAACCCTGCTATATCCCTGTAAACCCACTATAGAAGTCTTCCAAAGAACAAGTCATAGACACTGATCACTTTCTTTAAAGAACCAATCTAAACTGTATCTCTCAATTCCATATACAAGACTACTACAAATAATGAGAAGTATGAAGATCATTTTCTCTCTCTGAGAAGTGCTGGGTTACCTTTGTTCACTGAAAGATTTAATGAAAACCACAAACCCATGTTGGAGTTGCTTTTACTTATAGCATCACCCCACTTTACTTGAGGGGAGCAAAGCTAAATCTTGGGTATGAGGTTGACTTGGAGCTTTCTTGGGAGAAGTCGAGTAAGAATGACATGTTTGATTTATGTACTGGTTTATCGACTTTAAACTTACATGTCTGCATGCATTTCCACAGCATTTGCCCCGGTTCAGCAAAGCTTGACGTGTAAAAACATCAAAGCCTGTCAAGGGATCTGCATACGTGTCATAGTTTGCCTAACACAAGAACAATATGTCAACAATCACTGCAAGAGTAGATAGGCCTATAGATATGTAGATCCTTTAAGTTAAACTTAAAAAGTCACAAGGGTAGGACACGTTATGGAGTACAGGAGGATTTAGGAAAAAACAGTGGAATATCAGGCCTCGAATTTAGCGGCGGCCACAGCAGCCACTGGCCGTCGATGCCCTGCTTGTTGGCCGCTATGCCCTTGAAGTATAGTGAAATCCACGGCCAGTAGTGGCCTGCCCTCAACCCCAGACTACAGTACTTAGGCTTTAGAATACCAAGTGTATGATTTGTAAAATTGCCAATAAATTTAAAATAGTATTTAAATGCACCTTTCCGTCAGTCTGTCTGTTGAATCATGTATTAAAATATCCATAGTTTTGTTTGGCATTTTTTTTAATATTGTTGCTGTTCTGTATATTTTTCTTGTCTCATGGAAACTCAAACGTTATTTGAAACATCAAAATAGCAACTGAATAAAATTTTGGCCTTGAATCTTGATGTCCTGTGTACTGGCATTGATGCCCTAAAAAATTAAGTAACATTCAAGGACAAACTGGCCTTGCCTTTATTTTTCTCAAATTCGAGGCCTGGAATATGCCAATTACTGGATTGTCAATGGATGACAGTGCAAGCTAAGGGAGTGTTTGGGAGTGTTTGATGTTCATTATTTATGTTGGAGAGTGGGAGGGGCTGGTGAAATTTTTAAAAATATAACCCCCCCCCCCTTCTCGAGTAATAAAAATCTTAACAGCCTCCCCCATAAGAATCATACAAATTGTATGCCATCGGCACCCAAATCCCACCTTGTGTGTAACATTTCTAAATTAAAACCTAAATATACTTAAGACCTAAATGCACGCAGTATATGCATAAATGTCCATTTAGGTTCATTTGCTCACTAGCTAAAATGCTTAGATAATTAATATTAATTAATTATGATGCATAAAATGTAGCCTAATATTTAGAAATAAAAAGCAACCCTAAACTTTTTTTCAATTAATTTTCAAAGCCATGTGGTAATTAATGTATAAACTATACTGTACCTCGATTGCATTCTTGTGTGCAATAAAAATCTGGCATTCCATTTCTGAAAAATTCTCAGGTATTTCAAGTTCTATCTTCTCTGAACTACCACCTGCGTCTCTTCTCTCCTTTTTATTTGCCACATCTAATCCTTTGTCGCTTCTCTCTTGCACCTTGGGTGATGTACTTGTGATGCTCGAGTTGGTATCGCCTTTGGACGTTTCATTATTTTGCATATTAGTTCTTGTTTTCAATAACAACCAGCGCAAAAAAATCTGAATATACGAGTGCTGTAACTTTAACAAATATCCTTGTCTAATAAACTGTCTTGTATTACGCCATGCGCGTGTTAAGCTCATGTCAAAATTTCAGAATCAAGCGAGTATTTAATGGTTGGAATCTCACCCGCCTCATGGCCCTCATCGTATAGTTCGCAGACTTCGCAAACAGCTTTATATTTCGACTCGTCTCAAGTCCAAAACAAATGTAGTCTAAAATAGTTATATGAGGAAAAGTCTCACGCAATATATATGCTCCTTAGATATAAACAATACGCCAAACAACGAAAACAATATCGAATTTCAATTTTCAAAATATTTTTTAAAAATTTAAAGGTCCCATGGCAGCCATATTGGATTTATTTGAACTACTGCTGATATCCCGTATTGCAGGCTGTAAATATTTGTGAGGAAAAAGGTAGGCAATCCCCACGCCCCCCTGAAACTAACTAAAAATTACACTACTAAGGGGGGAGCTTACATCTTTCTAGCCGGGTGTTTTTTTCTACTTTCCACTTCGAAACAAATCAAATATGTCCGAAGCAAAGGGTGCAAAAAATGAAAAGGAGTTAGTAGCTGAATTAAGACAGCTCATTAAAGGCGACATATGCAGTCAATTTGACCCAGATTATCACAGGGAAGTGAGAAAAGTATGGAATGCAAGACTGTATGAGAAAAATCCTCTGTTGTTTGTTTATGTTGAATGTCAAGATGACATTTTAGAAACATTGAAGTTTTGCAAAAGTCACAAGGTTGAGCTAGAGTATTAATAGCTATATTATAATTTGTGAAATAATTAATAATTCATGAAGAAAACACAATAGAAATCATGACTGTGAAGGAGTTTGTATGTCTGATACAAAATCATGCCGATTTACATAAACTCACCAAATATCATTCATTTTCAAGGCGTTTTACAAGCCATTTGCAACATTTGTGTCCATGTTGTATCACATAGACAAACTCTCGCCTTCGGCTTGAGTTTCGTATTTCCGATACAACATTGGCACTCGTGTTGTAAATAGTATGTAAAGATACCATATTATGGGCAATGAAACAACACATGAAACTGACTGTATTAGAGAGGTGTTGCTTTTATAGAGGTTCTTGATAGAAAATATATTATGTTGGGATATTGGAATCTGTCCACAATAGAGAGATGTTTGTATAATTAGAGAGGTGCCACGCCCAACATCTGGGGTGGAAAATGTCTTGGACCATTGGTCCCAGAGATTATTTCCCCAGAAAATATTTCCCCCAGAAAGAAAAAATAGTATTGTCAAAATTTAGAGAAATGGAGAAATTCAGGGGAAAATTCTAACCAATAGAAAAAATGTTACCTATACTGTAGGTATGACCTCAGAAATGCATGGATCAGTAGGTTAAAAAACCTTAGGGTAAAAAATATGGATTATTTTGTCAACAAAGGAGGACACAGGTGAAAAACAAATTTAAACTGGTGACAAATCCAAAAGAAAAGCATAATTAAGTTTAAAGCATAATTAATTTGTGTCACGTCCATGTATACTAGATTTAGCTAATCTTCAGTTTGCTAATTATTTTTTAACAATACATTATCCAGCTCCCATTGTGCATATGCAATGGAGGTACAAGTATGTTTGTTCAAGATGACGGTGCTGTTGTTCTAAAACTTGAAAAGATGAATGATGTGACTGTCAATCAAGAAGCCAAGGTTATCATTTTCTCACTAACTTTTAGATTTCTATGAAAACAATAAATACTCTAGGAACAGTTATTTTCTGCAGATGTTGAAAGTTTGGGACAGATAGAGCTATCCAGTATAAATAATGTTAAGTCTAGTTAGCTTAGAAGAGAAGATCAACTGAGGTTGCTCATCTATATAATAGCTCTGTATGTTTAATTAGTTGGTGGAGCAATTACTGTAAAATACCATTAATGGTAAATTTTGTGGTTTTTACCAATTTACTATTTGGGAAAGTTATAATAATAACCATGCAATACTGGTAAGACTTTTTCCTATGGCAATGGGCTAGTAGCCTAGTATTCTGATGTTATGAATTTGCAGCAGATTTGATCGTTTTAATATAGGCAACACAACTTCAAGTTAACAGCAATGATTGCAATCATTATATTTGTTAGTATCGAAATTTACCCTATTCCAAATTCTGTAATTGCAATATTAATGCCCTTGGCAATCACACTTGGATTAATGTCCTTGGCTGCTCTAGCTTTTCAATTTTCATAAGCTTTTGACCTGTTTTAGACTGCAGCAGTAAATTGTGGTGCCAAGCAAGGGGATGTGGATAAAACTACTGCCGAGTATGGTCTGGTTACAACACTAGGTCAAGCGAGCTTTGTCGGTGCAACAGGCTCAGGTTTACTGTTAGGAATGGGTGTGCTTGGTAGGAGCTATGGTTATGCAATTGATAATCTACATGCTATAGGTAGAGTCTTTATATCTATCATTCTATCTATTTAATAAGCTTTTTGTTTGTTGACAAATCTGATATTTTATTTTACGGAAAACACCATGGGAAAAATTTAAAAAGCTTAATATTTTCATTTCTTACTTTTTATCGTACCTTTTCAGTTTTATTCAATTTGTGGTTATATGTTCTATATAATTTCAATGTATTTTGCACAATTTAAGTTTTGTGCTTCAATAGACGTGACGAAGGAAAATTGTGAAATCTAAAAGGTGTACACTTGCAGTTTTGTACTGAAAAGTACAAAGTTATTGTCTTAGAGTTAAAGTTTTGTTTTGCATATTTCTTTTACATTATTTGACCTTTGAGGCATTTGTTTTTGGGTAAATTTAACCAATTATAACCAATCTGTCTGTTCTCACACTCGTACTATAACACAGTATGCAGTAATGCGCAAACTCAAACGTACTTATTTGTGCTTTTCTTAACTATAGAGATGATTACAGGCTCGGGAGAGACAGTAAAGGCAACTGCCACTCAAAATGAGGAACTGTTTTGGGCAATGAAAGGTTTTGGACCTAACTTTGGGTGAGCATGAATTTCAACCAAAATCGGAGCTGAAATTTTGATCTAGACAAGTCTGGACAAAAATTTCGTCACAGCTTGAAAGAGCAACACAAAATTAGTAATATTCCGAAGTTTCGTTGCGAAATGTTGTAAAATGCGGCTAATATTGCCTTGCGAAGTTTGCCGTTTTTCAGTCATTTTGCATTACGCGGGGGAAATTGACAGCCCAATATCCTTTGGCCTGTTTGGGGCTGTCAATTTCCCGTTTGTAATAGAAAATGACTGAAAAACGGCAAACTTCGCAAGGCTATATTATCCGCATTTTACAACATTTTGCAACGAAACTTTGGAATATTACTAATTTTGTGATGCTCTTTCAAGCTGTGATGAAATTTTTGTCCAGGCTTGTCTAGATCAAAATTTCATTCATAAGGGGAAAGGTCTATTGTAGTTTTTAGAACCGAATTTTCAATGTATTTTATGAGCAGACTCTACGGAAACGCTTTGGTTAAGTTACCAAAACGATTATTAAATATAATCTCCTATACAGTATTATAATGTTCTAACAAGTATTGTTAACATTTTAATTAACTATTTACTTACCATTACATTGTATCAAACTTTTTTCCATAAAGGATCGTCACCAAACTTCACGTCAATTTACATCCAATTCCGGCTCAAATCATGGCTGGAAATCTGTATTTTGCTTGGGAAAACGCTGCCAATACACTCAGGAACATGCGAGACTTCGTACTAGAGAAAAACGACAAACGATTAGTTCTTTACGGTGTCATTTCAACTGAGAAACAAAGGTATAATGCAACTTTGAAGCGAAACTACATGTATGGGATGGTATTCTTTTAATACGCAGTCAGTGGTGTCATGTAACGAAATAAATGTACTTCGTTACTGTACTTGAGTTACTATTTTTGAGAAATGAGCATGTAACAAAGTAAACTTTTTCTGGAGTACTTTTACTTGGAACGAAGTCGTTTTAGGATGTAACGTTTTACTTCGTTATTGTCATTTTGTGGCGAAGTATTTCGTTACTTTCTAACTTTTGTTTAATTTTACGTGATTTATTCCCGATAAGTGGACCTCTTGAGAAAACAGTTTAGAACTGGTTTCCTTCTAGTTCTGTAGTAACACTGGACCTCTATAGGGAGAAGAGTTTAGCACTGATGGAGCTACCTATGTATAAATATAGTAACGTTAGTTCAGATGCAATATGGTATCACAATATATTTCAAAATTATATAGGGGCAAGTTAATGCTATTCCTTCGTTATGTTTTTAATGGGGATTTAAATGTGGGGGAAACATATCTCGAAGAATTCTGTAAACGAAGTTCGCCTGATTCGTGGGATGTGGAGCCTATGCATTATAACGTCTTTCAAACAACAGTAGATGATCTACACCCTTTTGGAAACTACTACTTTGATGACATGGGTGGCTTTCCTCTTTCAGGTGAGAAAATTGAAATATTTTGCGTTCCGTCACTGTCTGAGGGGATTCAGGGAACATGATTGACGCTATCAGCTAACTGTCTGTGCTAATTTGGAATATTGGTCGCACACATTCATAAGATTATATTACTGGACCTCTAGGGAGAACGGTTTAGAATTGATACAGCAATCTAGTAGAAACAAAATTAATGTAGTTTAGGTTTCCTCCTGTAGTAACACTGGACCAATAAGAGATGCTTGTAGGAAGAAGAGCAAATTAGAATTAGAGCTATCTAGTAGAAATAAAGTTAGTATAGTTTAGGTTTCCACATGTAGTAACACCAGGGTTCGAATTAGACAGGAAACATCGATTCGCAAATTTCCTTTTTGAAGATTTAAGGAAATTCTAGTTTTGAAAAGTGGAAACACTGCTTGCAAAAAACAAAATGGCGGTCGTTTCGTAGCGAATTACGTAAATTTTCTGCAGAAATTGTAGCCATATTCTTAATTTCACACATCTTTTTAGTACAAAATTACAGCAATAGTCAGCAACATACTCTATATCTTACATTATAGTAAAATACATTCGAAGTGATTGTGAAAATCAACCCGCTGTTTTTTCGAAACGTCATTCGCAAAATGGATGATTTTGCGTTCGCAAAAAGCGAATTTACATTCGCAAATTGCGAATAGCATAATTCGAACCCTGGATCAATATGGGAGCACCTTTGGAGAGAACAATTTCGACGGAACTGGTAGAGCTATTCAGAGTGAATAAAGGCAAACCCCTGAGATTCAAACAATGTGTGATTCTAATTTTTCCCTATCATATATAGAAATGTCAAATGAAGTAATAGACGTTCTAATTGGTCGTTACAATGCATTGCCCTCGGTGGAAAAGATGTCAGGAAGTGCTTGCTATGTTTTAACTACGGGAGGCGCTTATAGTGAGCTACCGGAGAATTCGAATCCATTTTTGTACCGAGCTGCAAGGTAAAGTATGTCGATATTGCTCAGCCTAGCCCCTGTTTTGCTTCCGCGATGCTGGCGAGAGTCGGGAAGGTCTAGCACAATTCGCAAATCTGCCCTTTTTGGAACCATTTTTGGGGCATCTTTGCATGAAACCGGAATACCCAGAGGCAACTCAATGCAGTATTTGGTCGGAAACTCCGAAACTTATATGAGAAATAATACAAGACAACTGTATATTACTTTAAAAAACTCAATCATTCATGAGGAAAATACAAAAGAAATGAATGTTTAATCAATATTTGTAAATCAGACAAAGATTTGTCCTGATTTACATAAACTTCAGCTTTGATTTTCTCGGCTTAGACAATTAGTTTATTTTTAAAATTACTTTAAAATTCGCATCCGATCTTTATCTGATATACAAATTTTCGCCTTCGGCTCGAGTTTGTATATCAGATAAAGATCGGCTGCTCATGTTTTAACTAGTACTATAATGTAGAATTGGAATCTGTAAATATAGAAAAACAACTATATTTATATAGTGTCCCAAAGGTCACGGGTTCGATTCCCACCTTGGTCAGGCAAACTTTTCAGCTTGCCCGATGTGGATGCACACTCAGAGTAACATCACAAACATCATATTCACCTGAGTACATAACACCAACACACACAAAATTATAGAAAACAACTTTTGGCTGACGAAGGCCTCAGTTACACGATACGGGATTCTCTTGTAAAAACATCGAATTTAACACTTAAAATCGCGATAATATGACGAAATAAAACGAAAACTGTTAAAGGGGAAAATTTTGTGGGCAGACATACTCATGAACAGCGTATCTTAATATCGTAAAAAGCGAATCGTGTTATAACGGGGGCTAAAAACCACCTGCAAGATTAACTGATGACTTGAACAAAACGTAGCCGCAAATCGGTTAACTACTTTTGAGTTTCGTGACACATGCTAATCACCTTTATCCCATTTTATGACTAATTCGCCACACCGTACGGTTATTGCCATTATGCGAATATTAAAATTTATAAGTACACAAAAAAATTATATTGCAAACATTTTGACAAAAAGCAGCATTTATCTCTCGACGAACCAATAAAATATTGCTTGGGATTGCAATATCCGGTAATTAAACGTAATATAATCTGCATGATATTTCGAGAAAGACATTTGCGGTTTGATTTGATATATAGATTGTCCTGTCTA